ACTTGCCTGGTTCCTAGTAAGGAACTGATAATGGGGAACTGAAAAACATGCACTTGGAGGAGGCATATTGACATATTACCATTCAGACTGGCCACCATGTCAAAACGATAGACTTTCACAATATAGAATACCAGGTAAATATCTATTAAACTAGACCTAAATAATGCAAATGGCTGATATTAGGTGTTTATCATCCTTGCTATGGCAAAGTTCTCTACAAATAATTTTGCAAAACTTTCAATATTTGTACTACAAAATGATAATCTAGTTATTATTGGCAATATAAACTATATCCAATGACCCAATGAAAACAAAGAAAAAAGATTAAACCATGCACCATTCATGAAGAAATTACTTAAGTCAAGAAATTAATCACAAGACAAGATGCCAAAGGGACCTTAATGGCCACCTAAGAATTCAAGAGAAGAGGAAATGACCTTTAGAAATTGTGACCTTGAAACTATGCTAAAATGTTCTGCATCTTTCATATATCATGGAAGAAAAAAAGAAATCCACAGTTTAAACACTTGTTCCCTGCTCTTTGACTCTGTGACCAAGAGAGTTTGCAAAAATGACCTTTATAAAAGTACCTACAAGCATATTTCTATACACAAAAAGTTGACAGTTTTGGAGAAAATTGGTTGTATTGATAATTCTAAGTGCCAAAGACCTTATGCCTTTGACCTTGTGGCCTTGAATTTGTGAAAATAATTTACACATCATCCCTTCAATTTTAAAATGCATATACCTATACCAAAAGACGTTTTTCGACCAAATGGCCATTTTTGTTTCTTATTTCTAAGTGCCAATGATCTTTGAGCTGTCAACCAATGACCTTGAAACTATGAAAAAGTAATCCTTACAACTTTCATATGCATATGCCTAACAATGAGTAGATTGTTTTTGAGCAAATTTAGGATTTTGGCCATGTTCAACACTTGTCCCAGTCTAGAGGCTGAATGGCATATACAGAGGTTAAGGATTTTACAATTTTGGTAGACTAACGATAGGATATAACCATAAAAAGTAGAGGGGAAGATTTCTAAAAAATAACCTTATTGTTCATGGTTTTTGCCCCACCACTAGGGCTCCTCAGGAATGGGGACCACAAATTTTGCAATTTTGATGCCTCTTCTGGTATTGATGCTAGTGACCAGTTTTAGTTGGAATTGGTTCTTAAGAAGTTGAAAATGTAAAAACTTGACATAATGGACAATGACAGACAAAGCATGATCAGAAGAGGTGACTATTACCAATGGTCAGATGACTTAAAAATGCTCAACAACTAGATCACATCAAACTGCACAATATATAACTGAGAAAAATACAGAACACAATGACTCAAGGTCAATAAACTCAGAAAATAATCAATAAAACATGACAGTATGGATATATGAAAACTGTCATGTGACTGAATAACGTATATAAAATATTTATATCTGTACTTAACTGAAACCAAAAACTGAACCTGACTTACTTGTAGTAACTATGACAGAAGCATCAGATTCAATCTCCTGTGTTGCTGCTTGACTTCCTGTCTCTTGTGATATGACATTAAATTTATAAGCCGTGCTCTGTGTCAGTCCTGTTATAGTTGTAGATGTTCCTGTTACCACAATAGACCTTTTAACTTCTGCAGTATTTGCATTTAGCCTCCAGATCACAACATAACCAGAAACCTGAGAGGAGAATGAGGATTCTGTCCAGCTGATGTTTACTTCTGTCGTAGTTACTGATGAGGATGTAACAGCGGTCACCTTCAAAGCATTCACTGGAAGTCACAAGTACTAATGTCAGGATGACGTTTACTTCCAGGGACATTCAATAATGTGTAACAATAAATAGAATACTTATTACTACAAGTAATAAAAAGAATACTAATTACTATGCTATGATAAACAGAGCACTAATAATTACTATTATTTAAATGATCATGCCACTCTTGTAGAATAGTGTTGAATAATTTCATAGAATGTGAGATATGTTACATTCGATAGGAAATAACAATATTGTAACAAAAGTGATGTGATTTTGAGATAAAGACAATTAGCATTAATATAACTCACTAGGTCTGCTGAGGTGATACTGCATAAACAATATACCAGGGCTGACTGATAAGTTGTGAGCCTTGTATTGCAGAAGTTAAGCAAAGAAGTCTTTTTTCAGCTCTATTTTCCCTGAATATTTAAGGATGTGTACCCTAAGATTGGTGTCAGTTGGTCAGTTTATGTTGAAGAGGTAGCACTCTTAAAGTAGAAAAGCCAAGTGACTTTTGCAAAGTGGACAAAATTGTTGAAAGAGCAGTGATTCAATATTTGCATAAAAGTCCAGAACCTATGGATATCCATACTGATATGGTAGCATCACTATGGAATGTTGCCCTTTAAATATGTTACAGTGAAAAGGTGTGTGGCAGAATTAAAGTGTGGAAGTGTGGCAGGCAGTCTGTCACTGTTGCAACCCCAGAAATGGTCAATACAGTCCATGATATTGTTATGGCTGAGGCGAATTACAGAGAGATAAATAGTTAGTATAGTTGGAATTTCACAGTAAGTAGTATTTTCCATTCTTAATAAAGATCTTGCAATGAGATAGCGCTAAACTTGTTGGATACTAGACTTCTGATAATTGATCATAAGCACACCAGGCGGACTTTGTCGCATGCTAATCTGAATTAAGCTTTTAGAGGGAGATCCTGCTAACTTTCTGCAGAGGTTTGTGACTATGGATGAAATGTGCGTCCATCATTTCATCCCCGAAGCCAAACAACAGTTTAAACAATGATAGCACCCTAGGTCACCTCGCCAAAGAAGGCAAAGGCTGTTCCATCAACTGAAAAGGTTATGACCTCAGTTTTCTGGGATGGTGATGGTATTGTGATGGTAGATTATCAGCAAATGAGACAAACAATCAATGACACATAATTTGCATCACTTCTTAGGCAATTAAGTGAAAACATTAAACTCAAGCACCATGGAAAACTAAGTAAAGGTATGTTGTTCCACCAGGACAATGCCCTTATTCACAAGTCTGTCATTGCCGTGGCTGCTATCAACAACTGTGACTTTGAATTGATTGAGCATCCGGCTAATTCACCTGATCTTGCTCCATCAAACTTTCATCTTTATCCATAAAAAGGCCATTTCTGGTTCTCACTTTCGGTCAGATGATGACATCATACATGCATTCAAGGACTTTCTGAACGGTCAAGAAAAGGACTTTCTTTTAAAGTGGCACAGAGGCCCTTAACTATTGCTGGCAAACGTGTATAGATACTGCAGATATGTCCTTCAAAAGTTAAACTCTTAAATATAAGGCTCATAACATATAAGTCAGTCCTGCATATACAATACATTACTTACTCGATGTACAGACACTACCGGGTGTACTGAAATATTACCGTATAAACAATATATAACTTACTTGATGTACAGACACCACCAGGTGTACTGAAGTGTTACCGTATAAACAATATACAACTTACTTGATGTACAGACACCACCAGGTGTACTGAAGTGTTACTGTATACACAATATATAACTTACTTGATGTACAGACACCACCAGGTGTACTGAAGTGTTACTGTATAAACAATATATAACTTACTTGATGTACAGACACCACCAGGTGTACTGAGGTGTTACCGTATAAACAATATATAACTTACTTGAGGCACAGACACCACCAGCTGTACTGAAGTGTTACTGTATACACAATATATAACTTACTTGATGTACAGACACCACCAGGTGTACTGAGGTGTTACTGTATAAACAATATATAACTTACTTGATGTACAGACACCACTAGGTGTACTGAAGTGTTACTGTATAAACAATATATAACTTACTTGATGTACAGACACCACCAAGTGTACAGAAGTGTTACTGTATACACAATATATAACTTACTTGATATACAGACACCACCAGGTGTACTGAAGTGTTACTGTATAAACAATATATAACTTACTTGATGTACAGACACCACCAGGTGTACTGAGGTGTTACCGTATAAACAATATATAACTTACTTGAGGCACAGACACCACCAGCTGTACTGAAGTGTTACTGTATACACAATATATAACTTACTTGATGTACAGACACCACCAGGTGTACTGAGGTGTTACTGTATAAACAATATATAACTTACTTGATGTACAGACACCACTAGGTGTACTGAAGTGTTACTGTATAAACAATATATAACTTACTTGATGTACAGACACCACCAAGTGTACAGAAGTGTTACTGTATACACAATATATAACGTACTTGATGTACAGACACCACCAGGTGTACTGAAGTGTTACCGTATAAACAATATATAACTTACTTGATGTACAGACACCACCAGGTGTACTGAAGTGTTACCGTATAAACAATATATAACTTACTTGATGTACAGACACCACCAGGTGTACTGAAGTGTTACTGTATACACAATATATAACTTACTTGATGTACAGACACCACCAGGTGTACTGAAGTGTTACCGTATAAACAATATATAACTTACTTGATGTACAGACACCACCAGGTGTACTGAAGTGTTACCGTATAGACAATATATAACTTACTTGATGTACAGGCACCACCAGGTGTATTAAAGCCGTTACTGTCAAAGTAGTTCTCATTACATCTACAGATTTTTGAATTACAGGAGGCTGTGGTAGTGTCTTCACACACAACAGTAGGAGAACCAGTCCCACAGGCTACAGACAGAGCTGCTTCTGGATACGTCAACAGATTGATAGATATCTTTAAACATTGCATCTATTACCATTCTGGTCATGACAGTTAGTAGTATTTCTTTGATATCTTTTAATTAAAGCACTTACATATGTATTTATTTACATCACTCCTTTACAAATCAATTACACATTAAAAGATTATTTTCACTACAAGTTTGTCCTTTATCTTAATGATACATGTATTTGATTATGAAGTCTAGTTGTGTGAGGATTCTGCTACTGATCTTATTGTGATTATAAATGATCACTTACTCATTGACACTGTTTGAGGAAAATCAGATTCTACTTCCTGAGAGGCTGTTCGACTCCCGGTCTCGAACGTTTTCACATTAAATGTGTAGGTAGCACCACTGGTAAAGCCCGTAATTGTAGCAAATGTTAATGTTTTATCAAAGGTAGATGAAGAGCCACTAATAGATTGACCAAGTCTCCATATCACCTGGTACCAAGCCACCTGACTGATATTTTGTGGTGGGGTCCATGTTACATTAACGACGTCTGTGCCTGGTGTTACTGATACACTAGTCACCTTCAGTGTAGACACTGTAATATAACACACAAGGTCAGTATTATGAAAGAGATACTAGAGGGATCTTGATGCCCACCATTCTTTCCCTTCTTTTCTTTCCTCTTACATTTTGTTAATGATATGAAATTTGAGAATTCGTCTTAAGAAATAGCAATCATAATCATTTTTAACTACCAAATCAAAGGACTGTCAGCTATTTGGTGATCAGTCTCAAAGCAAAAGGGAATTTATATATGAAATTTTAGTAAGATCCATTATGTACTTCTCCAAATAAGCAACAACAAATTTTCAATGTCAAAATCCAACATCAATCTCAAAATGAAAAGGACATCACTAGGGACTATTACATGGAAAACTGCATATGAAATGAGGGAATGATCTATCAAGTGTTTCTAACAAGTGATAACAGTATATTGGCCTGTAAATCATTTCATTATTCAGATCACTTCCAAAATAAAATGGGCAAGACTAGGAAACAATTGGAACTTACACAGAGGATATTTACTGGTACCTTAACACCTATCTAATATCTGATGGCAATATTTCAGAAAGTAAAAATAAAATCAAAACACAAATGATCAAACAATGTTAACTTGTATAAGATGACTTACTGGATAGACAAGAACTGCTGGCTGTAAATCCATTACTGTTGTAATAATCTTTTTTACACCTACAGATATTACCAGTACACTCAGCATTGGCATCAGAACATTGGGACACACCAGTCAGGGCACTGTTACAGGCAACACTTATTGCAAGCTCTGAAAAAATACATATCTAATTAAGTCAACATTTGATCATTGGAATAGATGGTGCATTAATTCACTTCACCAAAACCCACTGAGTGACAGCTAGCTATTCAGACTTAATCTTACATTCCCTTCCACCAACTAACACTTCAATGTCAACTGCATTCAAATATGATGTAGATACATTCTAGATAAGTTCCCAATTAATATCGTGACATCGTTTTTTAACTCAGTGTTGACTCACACTGAATTTTTGCACAAGCTTCACATGTTGGTTCTGACTGTAAACATATCATACCATTGCAATAATTATAGATAATCTACCAGATCTTTGAGTAACTATAAACATACAAGAAATAGAAGAAATATAATCTTTGTTTATGTCTGGTCAAGCAGATAAAGATATTTCAAATGTAATCAGTAGAACAAATAATAAGGAGGGTGAATTTAAGAACAAAATATGGATCGAAGCATGAATCTTCAAAATGACAAAGTTCTGAAAAGAAGTCAGTTAAAATCATGAATGATGTAAATATATTAGAAAACTGGTATTTATTTTTGTTGGTGAGCTTTCCATCTACAGCAGCACTGACATGTTAGGGGGTCAGAATGGTGTAGTGTGTAATGGCTGTTTGCAAAACTCATACAAACATATCAAGCACACTATTAGTTAAATTTTTAAAATGACAAATTCCTCAGATTATTATTTACTTCAAGACTCATCAACCTGAGGTACAATTTACGTATTTTGAATTAAGGTATTTCTCAATAATTCAATATCTTATATATTACATTACAATGTTATACATTGTATAGTTGTGATAGTGTGAATGGCAAAATATGTTTCTGATACAGAACAAACAAAAAAAAATACATTTTAGATGATCGATCAATTTCAAAATTGATGGTATTTTAGTAGTAATACAATTCATTATTGGGTTTATCACCCTGTCAACAGTCAGGGTCATTTTGAGACACTGTCTCCTTGTAGTTGCTTGCTACCCCACTGAAAAACATACAGGAGGCCCATAGCATGCTGTCCACATCAATAAGGGTAAAGAGTCTTTCCCAAGAACACCACCACGTCATCACAGACTGGTTCATTATCAGCTTCCTTGAAATACAAAACACCATCGGAAGGGAGCATTAAACCATACACCATGGATCTTCATCTGAGATTAACTTGGTTCTAACCAACTGAGCTATCATGGCCACAAATATGTAAATGTATGTAGTATAACAGGTTATATTGGATACAGGCAATGTCAGATCAAGGGCATGCCTTTGTGATCTACAGGGAAATTAATCAAATTGTAACTCTACTATGTCCTCAGAACCAGGAAAAACAGCTGGTCATACAATCATGTTTACATTCAAAGTCTTGGTTATTGTGAAGATGCAATTTCAAGGGTTTAACAAAATTGAGCCCTGTCGCCTTGAGTATAGGTTGACATGAAGGTAATTTCTTTTCACAAACTTCATCTTAGGAACCTGACAGCTAAAATATGATTTTAGGTCTTTCGATTAATCAGAGGATTATGTCACTTGATGGTTTAAATAATTTTGACACCTGTGACATTGAATGTGTATTTCGGCATTTTCTTTACACAGACTAAGTCAGGTCTCCCAGGAATGTACCAACCAGATATCTGATTCTAAGTATTGTGTTTTAATGGGAAGATGTGATTTAAAAGTTTTGACAAGTTTGACCCTTGTGACAGTAATTATGGAATTTTCAACTTAATATCTTGATTCTAGACCAAATGGTTATTCATAAGTAGTAGATACACGGTTTAAATAAAATTGACAACTTTAACTTTCATTACAGGTCAAAGTCATTTCTTTTGGAAATTTTATTGAGCTTCGTCCAAAGAACCATGATGTCAATGGATGGACGTTATAGTTACACAACCAAGTGAGCTAAACATACTGATAGCATAATGCCTACTTTCAAAATCCAAGATTGTTCATGTTGGGCTTTTTTTTTCAAAAATAAACCATGCACAACTAAAGCAATAAAGAGAATAAAGTCTCTAGGTACAGTTATAAACTTCGAAAAAAAGTCACCTAACATTTTTATTTATAGTAACAGTGACCTTGACTTTACTTTTTTGACCCGACAAATGACCACTCCTGAAAAGAAAACAGAGCTTCAGCTGATGAAAGCTTAACAAAAAATTTTCAGGACAAAACAATTTTTGATCCTTTTCCATCAGGAAGAGAACACTTTTAAACATATCAAGAGTAGATCACAAATGGATCATCATCAGGAAGTTCTGGATTTTAATGGGTAAATATACCAAAGAAACTTATTTTTAATTTATTGTAACAGTAATATTGACCTCTCACATTTTGACCCAAAAACCAATACAAAGCGAGCACAACTCATAATAGAGCAGTGTTGTCAAGTTTCAGTTTGATTGGTCGTCTTGAATTTGCGTTATTGTTCAGCGATGGTAATTGGGACCATTCAACCTTCAGGACACCACCATTTAGAGCAATTCGAAGCAAGCAATCCTGAAAAGAAAGTAGTTTATGATGATTCAGTTTGATCAGTCCAAAAAGGAACCACCAGTAATTGTTCAGAAATCGTGACGCAGACAGACAAATATACCCTTCCAGTCATTGACTGTTGGGATCACAAATGAATTGTCATGAGGAAGGCTTTGCTTTCATCCTAAAATTCTATGAGATTAATAACTTACTTTGCACACAGACACCAGAACTTCCACTGCCATCATTGTCATAGTAACCAATGTTACAGGTACACTTATTATCGGTACAGACAGAGTTTTCCTGACATGCATCAGTAGGTAATCCAGTACAATTACCATTGGCTACAACCTCTGGTTAAACAGAACAGGTACAATGTACATCACAGTAAACATAATCTCTATATCATAATTACATCAGATGTAAATATGAAAGCAGTAACAAAGAGATTTAATCACCGGGAATAAGCTATGTGCACCAATCTTTGGATCTTATCCACAGTTATTTGACATTAAACAAGGTCAACAATTATTGCTTACAAAAAAAAGAGGGAAAAATCCTCTTCAAAAGTTACCACAACATTCTTTTACTTTTCCAATCAGCAAAATAATTCCTCTTTTCAAATGAAACATATCAAAATTACAGTGTAGAAATGAAGTGTGCGGTCCTCCCAATTTATTGTGGATTACAATTTTCACAAGTAATATTTTAGTAAAGCTTTTGTCAGTTAAAACAGTATGTTATGTCCATGATATTTTTTCTATCATGTTTGTTATAACTGTGTACTACTATTTTACACTAGTTATATATCACCTATGTTAGGTTAGTACTAATTAGAATAATCTTCTCAAGTTAAACTGTGACTTACGAACTAACACATCTTATGATTATGAGGGCCAATGATTATATCGGCCAGCCCTATTAACGAAGTTAGATAAAACATGATGTCCTATCTATAAAGAATCCTGCCACACAAACACTGGTAGAGCTTTGCTGATTACTAGCAAGTAGATACAGAATATATTTACATGGTAATGGATCACTTACATATGTGAATCATATACTGCCTTATGGAGAAACATATCAAAACTATTTTGTTCCTGTCAAAACTAATAATGTTCTATGGACTTCTGCAAATCCATCAGGCTCCATATTCCTTAATATGATGCATCTCATGACAGATGACATGTGGAGGAGGAGAGGAAAGAATATCCCTGTTATATCTCAGTGCATAACCTGTGACTACCTATGGCCCTGATGATAGGGGATGGTTTGTCTTATGTTTTCTGTTGAGATACAATAGAGAATCCTAGCTAATGTAGCTTGCTGTACTCCACTGCATGATCATAGAAAGTGATTGAGACTGGTTCCTGGGCCTGCAGAATTAACATCTTTTATATTTCTTCTATGAATTCTACTAAGGAAACGTTGAAGACACCAGAATAGATTTGCTGCCCCCATTTCAACACTTTGGATCTTCCAGGTTTTCAAATTCCTTCTTAACAAACATAATATTATCTCCCATTGAATATGAACAGAATGGATGAATTGATTACATTATGACATCACAAACAAATCAATGACTCAAATGTGGAAAGGTCAAATAAACAAATTGATATCTTTCTCTTTTACTTTAAAATACCTTGAGGTCAATAGAATTACTCTTGGCTACCTTAGTAAGATTAAATACTTTATGATTTGTACATCATATATCACCAGGATATAAACTGTAGAACAGTTCTGCCCTACATCACCAATATCTCCTCTCACAAGTCTAAAGGGGTTCACATCAAGCAGATAAAATGGACATTAATCACAAACCTGATATCAAAATAAAGATGTTTGTTAACATATTTCATCTAGCAAGCTATTAATGTGGATGTTGCCAATTTTCATGACTTCCAAAATTAGTCTAGTCATCACATTTAACCATGTCTTACTTATCATTACATAAATCAGTCTGATCTTAATGACCTTTATTATTCATATATTTTGCCACTTTACTCAATTAGAAAATGACTATTGAACATAAATGTCCTCCCTTCTATGCTAATCCGAATCTCATTAGGTGTAGAATTTGATGAAAAGTAAGGTAAATATAAACCAACTCGGTTGAGAGATTATAAATATATGACATTCATTTGAAACCAATGCCTTGTATGGGACATGACAAACAAACACAGCTAACACTATAATAATGCCCTCACATTGAATAGGAAGAGCTTAAAACAAAATTATCGGTGAATCTGATAAATGCTTCCCAAAATCAATTTAATTGGAAACAAAATGTTATCAATGGGCAATAATTCTGTAATTAAGGGGTTAGTGCCCTGACTTTGGTACCCTGCACATCTCGCCTGTTTGATAAATGAATACACCAAGTTTAATCATACCAATTTTAAATGCAAGTAAAGTTATACTTGGGACAAACAATTTAATAAAGGAAGTTAACTTTGTATTTAAAGGATTACAGACCCTGATCGGCTTACTGCACGTCGTATTGCATGACCAATGTTTAT